AGCTTTTTCCCAACAGCTGCTGCTATTGATGAGATGTGCTCGTGCCAGATCAGGTCCTCGGTGATCTGGACGCCGACCAGCCGAAAGGAATGGCTCTTTGGCAGAACATCGGCCATCTATCGAAACCGAATGAGCGCTAGGACGCTTTTGTTCGTCAAAGTACAGTACTGTGTTTTGTAAGCATTGAACTGTACAAGATTGTTGCGTCCCCAAGCAGTGATAGCCTCCAGGTCTCTTGTCAGAGAGGAAGTCGTCGCTAGTCTTCTTCTTTCCAGCTCAGCGGCAGAGATCGGCTTGTCACTATAAATTCCTGCATGTAGAGTGCTGTCATCAGCGAAGCTGTGGATTGGGTTGATCGTGCAGGAAAGGAGGTCGTTGATATGTAAGAGAAACGGTGTCGGAGCCAAGACCGATCACTGGGGAACACCCGCGTTGACGTTGTGGGATGAAGAGGAGAACCCCTCAATTACGACGGATATCTTGCGGTCAGAGATAAAGTCAACCACCCATCTGCAAAGCTTTTCTGGAGGGCCGTAGGATGGAAGTTTGCTTAAGAGGGCAGCGTGCCACAGCTGATCGAACGCTTTCGTGATGTCAAGGGCTACGACATGAGCCTTACCATAAGACTGTATGAGTTTACTCTACAGTTGCGTGACGTAGGCTAGGAGGTCCCCTGTGGATCGTTGGTGCACGAAACCATACTGCCTGTGGCTAATCAAGCTGTGACTTTCGAGGTAGTCCAGAAGCTCGCGATTTATGCACCTCTCTCCTTACTTATAACAGAAAGCAGAGCTAAGGGCCTGTAGTTGAAAGGGTCGGTCTTAGATCCCTTATGCGGGATGGGTTGGACATGAGCAAATTTCCAGTTTTCTGGGAAGGTGCCGGATTCATAAGATATCTGGAAGAGACGCCAAAGAACTGGAACAAGCTCCGCTGCACACCTCTTCAGTACAATGGCAGGAATCAAGTGCGGACCAGAAGCTTTGTAGATGTGGAGCGACAAAAGCACTCGTCTTATGGTCTTATGCCTGAATAACACCTCCCGCATAGTGTACGGAACCCTTGAATTGACGGCCCTTGTGCTTTGGGGGGGGACGTCCATGGTGGAGTTGGCCGAAAAGATCTTGGCTAGCACTTCCGCCTTGGCCTTCGAGTCGAATACAATAGTTCCATCCTGACATGTAAGTGGTGGAAGGCTACTGTGTGAGAAGTTATTTTCAATCTGCTTGGTCAGCGTCCAGAAAGACCGACTGCCATTGTGCTGCGACATTACCCTGTGCCTAACTTTTATATCGGGCTGGTTTTTGGCATTGCGTACCTCTTCGTTATATTTGTTTCTGGACTCGACGTCGGCTTGTCTGTTCTCTACAGTGGGGTTTTTAAGAAGGTTCTGTGTGCCTTGATCTTCTGCCGGCGAGCAGTGTCACACGATTTGTTAAACCAGCCGTTGGACCCTGGTTTACACACTTTCACTGTGCGAGGGATGTATTCCTATATTCCGACGTAGATAATTTCGGTTATCGAAGAACAGGCACCCGACGCTTCCGCTTCAGTGAAAACAGACATCTTTCCAAGGAAAGCTAGAGAAGAAGTCTCTGAGCCAGTCCCAGTCGGCATGTCCGTAATGCCAAGTTTTGCGGCCTGTACCAGTTTCTGCTGCCACAGCGGGTTCTGACCGAAACCTAACCTCCACAACACTGTGGTTTGAGTTACCCAGGGGGGATAGGACAGCAGTGCTGTAATGGACAGGATGCGTGGTCAGAAAGAGATCCAGCAGGCTACTGTTGTGTGACAAGACGCGGGGGAAAAAGGTAGGGCTCGTCACCTGCTGGGTCAGCCCTTCAGTAAGAGCGAACGCTTCGACTACACGACCTGCTGCATCGGTCTTGTTTGAGCCCAACCAAAGCACATTATGGGCATTGAAATCACCGAGAAGAACTACCTCTGAAGCGGGGTGATTGATGTTCAGGAAGTCGATCTGGACGACGAGGTATTCGAGTAGGTCATCCCAGTTATGGTCCGAGGGAGAGCGATAAAGGCAGCAGATAAATTTGGGTGATGTTTTGGAGTTGAGGCGAAGCCACAGAATGTCCTTCCGGCCTGATTCCAAAGAAACATCTCTGGAGCAGGAAAAATGCTGCGGACAAAAGCCACAACTCTCCCGTTCTTTCTCAAAATCTGAGTGCACCTCGTAGTTTGGGAAGTTAAGATGGTTGCGGTGAAGATGTTCGAAAACTAAATTTTATCTTCGATGTTGTTCCCTCGAGCCCACCCTCCACCCGGACATTCCGAGAGTGGAGTAAGTTTACGTCCGGAGTTCTTAGTCCTCCAGGGATCTATCATCATTAATTTCTTTGTTTTGGAAGATAACCGACTGCAGAGCTTAGGTGCGGAAACATGCGGACATTTATAAGACACCCTGGGAAAAGCTAGCGGGTGGTACCGCCTCGGTCGACTGGTCCTTCTCTACCACCTACTTTTTACTGTTAATGATATTAAATAGACCTAAAGTGACTCGTGGCCACCCAGCAATCGGTACTGAGGTATTCCTTAGCACATGTACAATCACTCGAACGGTAAGAAGTTGTATACTGGATACAACAAGTTCGGGAACAAGCATCGGCCACGGCCCCGCACAGTAGGACGTCCTTCGGAACTGGACGTGTTGACTGTTCTATGTTTCAGATGTCGGAATTTGTATATGGTAGTAATCAAGTAGCTCACAAGTTATCTCGGTATTATTGACGTCAAGTGCCATGGTATCTTCAGGAAAGTCGGTCTTGTAATTGTTTACTGAGCAAATCATTTCGGGTGTAAAATCATCGGAATCCTTATATCTTAAGGGATGTACAATAACGTGACCGTTTTTGACCTTGTTTGCATAAAGCGACTTCGTTGCCGAGGGGTGCGTGGCGGTGGGGATGCACCGTCTTAAACGGAGCCTATGGGACACCGGGCGACCTCCCAGAGTAACCAGCCTTGCGTCCGTGTAGGGGCACCGCGGACGTCGATCACCACTTCCCCTATACTCGTGGGAACAATATGGAACCCAATGAAAATAATAAAAAACCCCCTACGGGGGACCCCGAACATCCAGGCGGCCCCTCACCAGGGGACCCTGATCGTACTCTGACAGAGGAATCTGTCAGAAGCTTAGCGAGAGAGCTAGCGGAAAGGGTGGACTCTCTAAAAATTAAGAAGAAGTCTCGGCCAGGTTCCGAAAGGAAAAGGGCTCGGAATCGGAGAGAGGCGCAGATGACGGAGTTCTCGGAAGGTCGGGGCACCACTTCTGGGACCCCGGCTGGACGGACCCAACCACCATCTGGGCTAGACGGTGCGCAACCCGGTGTGTCAGCGGAGGCCCTAAAGCGGCCTGGCGACGGGAAGCGGCAGAGGTCTGACGTTGGGACACCGGAGGGCGCATCCTCGCGGAAGAAGCCTCGTACTGCGACGCATGCGCAAATTAGCTATGCGCGTGCGTCCCAAGCGGGTCTCAGGGTGGCTGTTGTGTCCGACGGTTATCCTGGGACTCAACTTACCGACGTACAGGTGCAGCAGGTCCAGGAGGCGGTCAGTGTGCTGATAGATGGGATCGCAGATGAGCAGATGAGGCGGCCCTTCCCAGGTACTTTGACTGCTACCTCTCTCGAGGGGCAGCCATCTTTGTCTGCGAGGACGAATCCTCTAGGGCATGGTTGGAGGCCCACGTGGGGGATCTGTGGCCGTGGGAAGGCGCAAGGCTCATTACGATGAGCTTTGGAGACCTTCCCATATACCACCGCATGATGGCCTGGTTCCCGCGTCCCAACCTGGACAACGAGGTCATCACGAGGAGACTCAGGAGGCACAATCCTGGGACTTTTCCCAGCGCGTGGAGGCTACTTGAGAGGAAGGAAGGACACAAAGGTGTCCGACTTGTCCTCTCAGTTGATTCCATAAGCTGGAAGGTCATTGCAGGTAACGGCAACAGGCTGTGTTGCGGTGGAAGTTCGGGGGTGTTTACACTACTGAGCAAGAAGAAAAGTAGTGGAGCGACACCTGCTGGAACTGGCCTGGCTCCAAACCAGGAGTCGGACCAGCCCAGACCGACGGGAGCTGTGGCGCTAGACCAGGCTCCTTCACAGGGGATGGGTCGGCCGGGACCCTGCGATGGATCTGGTCCCAGAGGGCAATGATAGCGACTCGGACGAGGACGGAATCCTGAACCGAATCCGAGTACTCCTCCGTGGAAGCGGAGATGAAGGCGGCTGTGACAGTGATGACTGCGGCGGCGACGGCGGTACGCCCGAATAGGGGTCACATACCGTCATTCGGGAAGTTGTAGGAGGGGCCTCTCAACACCCATGGTAAGTCTTAATTTCATTCAAATTAGCTTACAACACTGCATAGCGGCTTCGAGGGCCCTTACTCAGGAGATCACTCGAGGCCGACATGACGTGGCTCTCATCCAGGAACTCTGGCTGAGAAACGGTTCAGTAAACGGGCTTAGTATACCGGGCTATACGCTTTTTAGCGATACTCCGGAAACTAAGCCCAGAGCTTGCGTAATGACTTCCGTCAACTCATGGCAACTTAAAGAATTTACATTCAGAGACTTAGTTGCAGTCAGAATTAGATATAAGAAGGCAGTGACAGGGGCTTGGTTGTATGTTCGGCTTACCTTCCTTACGATTCAAGAGACCCTCCTCCGTCCAAGGAAATGGGGGACCTTGTCGCATTCTGTAGGGATTCTGGACTCGACCTTGTGATTTAATGCGACAGCAATGCCCATCACGTTACGTGGGGCAGCTCGAACACCAACAGACGGGGCGAAGACCTGAACGAGTTTCTAGGGGCATCGAACCTTGAGGTTCTGAATGTCGGTAACATGCCCACTTTCAGCAATAGTGTAAGAGAAGAGGTTATCGACGTAACACTGAGCACGCTTAACTCAGGACATCAGGAACTGAAAAGTGTCTCTAACACCCTCTCTATCGGATCACAGGTACATACTGTTTAAGACTGATGGAGAGATTCCGGATAAATATGCTCGGAATCCCAGGCATACTAGATGGGGGTCCTTTAGGACAGACATTGACAGTAAGCTTGGAGCGGTCCCATACAGGCTTTGCAGGGGCTCTGACATAGAAGCAGCTGTCGAGTCTCTGAGCAGGGACTTGACGGCTGCATATGAGGAAAACTACCCGTTACGCAAAGTCCAAGGTAAGGGCAAGGCAACCTTCTGGACCAAAGAATTAGAGGATAGAAAACGAGCGGTGCACTAACTTCTTAGCAGGGTTAAGCACAGAAGAAGTTCTCGTCTATGGAAAGAATACAAAAAGGCATTGCAGGAGTACAAAAAGGAGATTAGAAAGGCCTCCAGAGAATCCTGGAGGCACTTCTGTCAGTCTATAAATGACATTCCTGCTACTGCAAGAATACACAGGGTCCTATGCAAAGACATTAAAGCAAGATTGGGATCTCTGCATGATCCCCGGGGGGAATACTACTTCTGAGGAAGGTACTCTGAGGCTTCTGATGGGTACGCACTTTCTCGGTTCCACAGTAGCGCGATCAATCACAGAGTGCATGCAGTTGCGCAGGCCCTCAAGGGAGGACTGGCGCACGGCTAGGGAGATTGTCACCTTCGAAAGGACGGTATGGGCAGTAGATTCGTTTGCTCCATACAAAAGTCCAGGTCTGGACGGCGTATTTCCGGCCATGTTACAGCAGGGACGGATTTCGGTTGTTCCTTACCTGTTGAATGTGTTTCGAGCATGTGTGGCCACGGGCTTCACACCTCGAAGCTGGCGGCAGGCTAAAGTGGTATTCATTCCTAAACCGGGCAGAGATAGATATACTGGCCCGAAGGATTTTCGACCGATTACTCTTTCATCTTTTGTGCTTAAGACATTTAATTGCACCACAACCGACTCTATCAGACAGGCCTTGGTTAGACACGGGGTTGGATAAATCCTAATAGATTGGGTCCTCTCTACTCTGGAGGGTCGGGTAACAACAGCTATGCTGAATAACGTAAGCTGCAGCGTGAATGTAGCTAGAGGCTGCCCTCAGGGCGGAGTTCTGTCACCCCTACTGTGGTGTATCGTGGTGAACGAACTCCTCGTTAGGCTCAGCAGTATGGGTGTCTATGCGCAAGCCTATGCTGATGACGTAAGCATAGTAGTTAGGGGGCGTTTCTGTAGAACAGTCTCGGAAATTATGCAGGGCGTTCTGAGCTCCGTCGAATCGTGGTGTAGGGAAGTCGATCTTTCTGTTAATGCTGAAAAGACCGAGCTGATAGTATTCACCAGGAGGAGAAGGCTTGACGGACTGGTCATGCCGACCTTCTTTGGGACTAGATGAGTTTTGTCCCAGTCAGTGAAATATCTGGGAATTATCCTGGATTTCAAACTGAACTGGAGAGAGCACGTGGAATACAAGGTTAGCAAGGCTCGCAATTCGATGTGGGCTTGTAGACGTATTGTCGGGGTAAGGTGGAGGCTTAAACCTGGTGGCCTTGCATTAGAACTGAGTCAACTAAGGCCAAACTCAATAAAATTCAGCGTTTGGCCTGTATTAGCATTACAAGCGCAGTGCGAACAACGCCATTGAGTGCAATGGAAGCTCTGTTGGATCTCCCACCGTTGGATCTGGTGATCCGCGGTGAAGCGAGAGTAGTCGCTCATCGACTGTGGAGTCAGGGCAGCTGGGCTTTCTTGAATCCTGTCAATAGGCATACTGCCATCTTAGTCGAATTAGAAAGGGAGGACCCCGTCCTTCTAAGCAGGGGTGATCGTATTACCGCTAAATATCGCTTCAACCGCAAGTTTATTGTGGAGTATCCAATGAGGGAGGAGTGGGACGCCGGTAGCCGGGGACCCTCCGAAGTGAGCGGGCAGGTCTAGTACACGGACGGCTAGGTCACCGAAGAGGGCTCAGGTGCTGGGGTCTCTGGGCCTAGAACTAGGCTATCTCTGCCTCTCGGTAGATACACCACCATTTTCCAGGCAGAAATCTTTGCGATTCTGGCTTGTGTATCTCACATTCTGGAGGAGGGTGGGCCTAGGAGAAGAATAACAATCTTATCCGACAGCCAGGCTGCAAAGAAAACACTAAGTGCCTGTAAGATTACTTCGAGTCTTGTATTGCAATGCAGGGAGGCTCTGGATTGCCTCGCAGCGAGGCATCTGGTATCATTCATATGGGTACCGGGGCATGCTGGGATAAGGGGCAATGAGACGGCGGACACTCTGACGAAAACAGGATCAGCCAGCAAGCTCGTTGGTCCTGAGCCAGCTCTAGGAGTAACCGCGCATAAAGCTAGGAGGAAAATGGAGACGTGGGTTGCAAGACACTCTCAGAAATGGAAAAGTATCTCTAGACATCTCCGCCAGGCACGAGAGCTCATTGAACGGCCCAGTGCTAAGGATGGACGCTTCTGCTTATCTCTGGGTAGAACCAACTTAAGGTTGCTGGTGGGACTGTTGTCTGGCCATAACACGTTAAGGCATCACCTGCACGTGATGGGGGTGGCTGAGGATCCCTTGTGCGAACGCTGCGGAGTAGAGGAAGAGACCTCGGCGCACGTTTTGTGTCGCTGTGAAGCTCTGAGCTACTATAGGCAGACTATACTGGGGTCCATTACTGTGGACCCTCAGGACGTCAAGGAGCTTGGACTCAAGGCTATTCTCAACTTCGCTAAAAGGGTGAGGCTTGTGATTTAAGTATTGTAGAGGTGCATAAGGGCCCGCTTAAGCGGCCTATCCACTGACTCCTTATGGTGGCTGGGATGCCTCTAATTTTAAGATTAATTCATTCATTCATTCATAGGTCTTCGTTTGGATTTTTACCGGTATGGCAAATAAAATTTAAATTAGGAATTTTAAGAATGTTGTCACTTGTGTCTATGAATCGCTTTCGACATTTTATGTCTTCATAGCCTAAGAGACAGTCGTACTTGTTGTGCCAATTAATTAGTAGAAACTCTACTTCATATTGTATTTCATATTCGTAAAACAAAGGGATTTTACAAGTATATTTTCCATCTTTGATTTGTTTGCAAAGTCTTGATTTCAAAAGATTTAGGAAAGATACATAAGTGAGGAAGAAGCTCCTGTATATATGAGTATCAGTAGGTCGAAATAAGTACTGTACAAATATGGAGGGTGGGTATCCTGATAATTATGAAAGTCTATGTTAATTCGGAGTTGATCTAGGTTTGATGAAAATTTTCGAATGTCCCTTCTGGGTTTTCAAAATTCTTAAATTAGCCATAATTTTGATATTGATCATTATATTCCTCTTGAAAATATTGAGAGTCATAGTTTTCATGATAAGTAGGTTCTTGATGGTAGGAGTATGATTCTAAAGCTGATCCATTATTAGCAAGTTCTTCGGAAACAAAATTACGTGTTTGACGATTATTGTTAAAGCAGCTGGGTCTATTTACGGGACGATTATTATTATTCAGCCGAACAATGGAAGTAGACATAGGCCTGAAATTTTAGGTATTTAGATTGGAGCCATCAAAATTTTAATTAGCTTGGGGTCTCGATCTAAAAGCTGCGATATTTGTGGGCAAGCGAGAAGCGTTGCTTATTGTAGGTCTGGGCATGTTCACGGGACCAGTTGGGAATCCTGGATGATTCATTAGAGTAGGTTTCCATGAGTGTTAATTCTGGAGTGTAGAAGGGCGTGGCTGCATAAAATTTAGTCTAGGGTTTTGCAAATTTGGTCTTGTTCGAGGAGATTTGATGTTTTTGTTAGCAAAGTCTTTGAAGCTAGATTGCAACTGCAAACTGTCATAGTCGTGACAAGCAGAGTTAGCGACATCCAACCCGTCAATCTTGGGGCGTAACAGAATAGAACGATAGGGTTCGCGCATGCCAATAAGAAATCAATCCAAAGCCATTTTTTATAAAAACCTAGTTTAGAGTTCTGAATAGTGACATCTGGGTATTCCAATTTAGCATGTTCTCGTAGAACATGTACTTTTTTCAAAATGTTATTATAAAAGATAATATAATCAGAAGTTTGTAACAGGATGTTTAATTCGTTGATCAAAATAAAATCATTTCTACGTTCTCTATAACTGTGAATCAAAGTGTTTTTGACTACATCCCAAGTATTGTGATTATCATGTAAAACCAATTCTTTTGCTTCACCTTCTAGTATTGAGACAACGTAGATCAAAGCCTCTTGTTGGAAAGGGAATCGATCAAATGAGATCAAAAATCTTTCGCAATTTTGAATATTTTCAGACATGTTGTTAGTTTCATGTGAAAATCTTAGCCAACTATTTTTTAATGATTCGAATTTAAAACAATAATCGTTCAAATTTGAGGCCATTTCAGGTCCTGATGGAACAGGGGATCAGTCTCAAATTCCTATAACTGCAAAGTGCAAAGTGTCCTTAAAGAATAAGACCATCATGATTCAGATGGTGCTGCTCCCAATCATGACTTACGCAGCAGTAGCTTGGGGCTACGTTTCCAAAACGTTGAACAAGAGGCTCCAGGCTCAACAAAACATAGCACTCCGTGAGACGGTGGACGCACCGTGGTATGTACCTAACAGAGTGCTATATAACGAACTACGATAGGTACCGGTAGTAATCCAGATGAGAGAGAGGGCCCGAAAGTTCTTTGAAAAGAACGAAAGACATCGAAACGTGCTGATTAAAGACGCCTTGGATTACGGCACAAGAACAATAAGGCGTCATAAAAGACCAAAAAGCCAGCTGCAACAAGAAAAAATTTGGCCCTAGCAGCTGATGAGGCCAAAGAAAAGGGGAGAAGACCGACAATACGTACACACAAGAGGGGAAAGGACAGCCCGTGTACAACGGGTGGACAAAAAGAAGCCTGTCGATTGAGGTGGCCAGAGTCAAGCACGGACTCGAGGCTAACCTCAGGAGACGAAGACAAACAGCAAATGACTGACTGACGACTGACTGACTGACTCCAGTCGACGAGGAAAGAGCGAGTGCTCACCAACTTTAATGCGGGACTTAGGTCAAAGCCCCAGCACAGGACCCCCAAGAAAGAGGCCGTCCATAAATGTCGAGAACCGACAGTTGGATGAAACGTCCACAACGTGCTTCCGCGACGCGTGCGCGATCGAGTCAGATTCGGGAAAAAGGGGCAAAATTGGGGAGGGGGAAGCTAGCTCGGCAGCACACACTCGGGAAATGTGCAGCGGCCTGAACCACGCAGCGCTTCGTCAGGCCTTCGGGCGGGAGAGGAGGGAGGAGCAGATTGCTCTTCCCCCCACTCCTCAAGGGTTTGAGGTTGCCTGGAACAGGGTGGTGGAGGGACCGCACAGGGTAGGAGGGTGTGTGTGTGTGTGACTTATGCTAGTAGCAATATTTCTGCATAGGCCCTCCTGGGATAACGGTGATGGTCAATTCAGTGGACTCAACAGGAAATCTGCTGAAGTGACTCTATACTTGCATTGAACGTCATCTTGTTCTTGTACTAGGCAGGGGTCGGATGAATTTTTGGAGATGAAGTCGTCACTGGTTCTCCCAGCCTTGTATTTTCGAGTTGTTTTGTGGCTTGGCACTTCAAAACTCGCCAGGTTCTTCTTCCTCGTTGAAATGGCAGAACTTCTCAAATGGATGAGCCTTGGGTCACACAAATAGCTCAAACGACACTTGCCTCGGGTTACAGCATCTGGATCTTCAGATAGTCGATTGAGTAGTACTTGGTACCAAACCGACTAGATTACTCTCAAAACTTGAGAAAACAGCAAACCGATTTTCAACGGGAAATTTATACTGTTCGCAGTGCCAATTAAATAAAATAGGCGACAAATCACTTAAAAAATTATTTATTATGATGTTGAAGGTTGTACAGCAAAGTATAAAGTAATCTTATCTCTAAACTATGCGTACTCATAATGAATCGGTATCCTGAAGGAATTTGTTATGATGGGAAAGTGCCCAAGAACATTTACTTATCAATATAAGGAAGTGTACATAGATATCGTTGACATCATAATTAACAATAACTCATAAGGAAAGTAAATACCCGGAATATACAGGAATGATAGGATGTTTAGTAAATATACGAGGGTGATATAATAATTTATATATCACGGAAAAAGCTGAAATTGCGTCGTTTCGGATAAATTGATTACGTCATCAAAAAACGCCTGCGACTATGCCCAAATATGCTATCAGACTATTAGAGTATAGCACGGAGAGTTATAGTAATTTAGGTCGAATAACGATAGGATTACATAGTGAGAATATCTCAAAATGCGATACATAGTCTTGTTGATGTATTTGTACCTCATCCATGGAAAAAATTACTTCACTATCACCAGTAGCGAGTCGATCCTTTAACTAAATTATTTGCTTATTTCCAACAAGCTGGTTCCGACTATCAGAGACTGTCAAATACAGTCATCCATACAAATTTTAGTCGACTTACCGCCGCTTGATGCTGTAACGGCGGTGCGCGTGGCCTTCCGTAGTCGATCACTTATCTGGCGGCATCTGAAAATTGCACTAGAAATTTGACTAAGTATACAGGGAATTCGAAATAATGAAAAACTCAATCTTATGGTCAGCTGCAAAAACCCTTCTAGGTTCCGACCCACCTTCTTGGATTTCACACAACATTAGGTCCCTAAGGCGTATTATCAGTTTCGTGTGTCTACTGTATAGTTGTTATTACGTTCTCGAACTTTCTGTACTAGAGGCACATAAAGGGAGAACCAAATTGTTTGACGACTTAAGTTCAATGTGTGCGAGAGAGCAGCCGAGAAGTGTGTATCCAACAAAAGACCGCATAAGAGCGAAGGTCATCACCATATTGTTTAGCGTCGATGACGCAATCTACCGGGTTGCAAATAGGTTACACCAGAATATGTTCGCACGGGCTTTTACAATAGGTTAAATTACCGAAGGAGAAGGTTTGAACGAACATTTTTTTACATAAAATTAACATATCCTGAGTTATTGTTACATTTTGCGACAGCGATCGTCGGAAAATGTAACAAATACCATTACGCAATACAAATTATCACTGCCTGCGGGTACGCAGGTGAAAACTGTTTCGAAGTAGGACGACACTCCTCAATGAGCGCTAGATGGGTACTGACCAAATCGCTCATCTATGAGCATGGAGGTAGAAACCTTGCTTTGCCAATGTTGGAGAATTTGTGGCGATCCTGACCTCTCATTTTGACCTAAACCTCCAATTAACAGATAACAACCTTTGCAATGATGCCGTTTGTCTGTCCCAGTGTTAACGAGTGCTCTAAGTAGGATGCCTTATGTCGAGTATAATAGCCTCCTTGAGTACCATCACAGCCATCTCCGTGGATGAGGTTGGCATGATCGAAACGATTTATATTTCATATGAGGTGGCTGATGATGAGCATCGCTTTAACTGTTCAAGAGTGAAATTCCAAATAAAAACTGAAGTGTTTGACCGCTGGTTTGTAAGCACCTTGAATCTGCGGGCGCTGTGACTAAAAATAATTAAATTTAGCTTTTGCGACGCGACGGACGCAAGGCGACGACGCGCAGTGCCGAGCTTGCGACGCAAGGTTGACGCTCGGCGGCTGCTGCGTCTATTTCAGTTTTTGGTTCAGTCTGTGGCGTGCCGAGATGGTCGATCGTAGCCGGCGGCGTCCATTTTAACATCTATAGTAAGTGAACACACACAACTCCTAGCATCGAAGACACGACAATCACAGCCATGGACCCGGAAGCCTTCTTGGACATCGCCAATCAGGTGGTGAAGCTGAAGATGTTCCCCTATTTCGACATCGCGCATTGCACACTGTGCGCTTTGGCTGTTAGAGAGGACCTCGGAAGCGGTAGGTGCTGGTTCATGTGCCACGCGAGAAAGTTGATTTTGATTTCGTTTCGCTTTTTCTACCGCATGTGCGGCTAGCCTGCTATGCTTCGTCTCATTGCATTGCTATACCATTCCCATACCAAGGAGGTGGACCGAATGGATGTGGATGTGATTTAGCATTCGGTAATACGTCGCCAGCGCCCGATTACCCGTTGGACTTTGTGTTTACAGCAGAGACGTAACCTCGATATTATGGGCATTTCACGTGGAGCGGACACCGAAAAAAGTGGGGTTTTAAAATTAGTTCATCTTAGGCCTGTTTGTACATCGAGTAGGAGTGAAAGAGAAAACACGATTTTTCTTTCGTGACACGTTCATTTGCTAAGTTACGAGCTTCGAAAGAGTATTTGAAATTGAGATTTCTTAGATAATTTAATCGATTTGAAAAGTATTATATTGGGATGTGAAAGATAGTAGATTTTCTATACTTTGAGATAAAAAAAATTAAAATTAAAAAAAAGCTGAAGGTACTAAACCAGGAGTAAGTACTTCAAACCAAAATTTTAGAAACTTCGTTTTTTTTTTCGATTTGTATTCCAAAATATATCCCAAGAAGTGTTTAAAATTCGTCAGAAGTTTTGGAATAGTATGCTTATTAATTGAGGAGGTACGCATTTTTATATACATACATGTAAAGTTTTGAAATGGTATGCTTATTATATAATTGAGGAGGTACGCATTTTTATATACATACATGTTCCACTGTACGTTATGTGCTTGTTTAGATCGACTAGTTTGCGATATATTGCATTAATATGCTACTATATGAGCTTTTTTACTCCAATAATTGTTTCAAATATATTCTAACAAAAATGTATAGATTATTTTCTGGAACAGTGAAATTTGAAATTGAACATGGCGCAAAGCCGAAAATAAACGTTTCTGGCTATACTTTGGGTAACTTCTACCACTGTTATCCTGATCTTTTATTCTAAAATATAGCCGAAGCTGTGCTTAAATACACTAAAATTTTAAAATGGGTTGCGCATTCACTAAGTAGAGGTATTTTTATGTACATATTAATGTCGTACTGAGTATGACGTCAGGCGCTTGCTTATGTTGACTGGTCGCATTAATACGCTACTATATGAATATATTTGAGCTTTAATAATAATTTTAAATATGCTTTATTCATAATCATTTGGACAGAAATTATTGTATTCTTAGAAATATTTTACCAGTTTATATGCCTACCAAAAACTGTTACACAGGCATCTTTCAAAGATATATAATTACAAACAAAATTGTATATAATCGATGCTGCCGGTGCTGTCAACATTTAAGAATAAATTAAATTTCGTACATTCGTAAATCCATTCCATTGTAAAGATGATTTTAATACCAATGCCGAATTACATTTTCACTTGAGTATCCTCCTACAAGAGGCCATGCGATAGTCTGGGAGGTAATATTAAACCTACGTTAGAAGGCTTTGTGATATGAAGACCTAGTTTTAGCGAGCGAAGTAAAATTGTAAAAATTATCAAAAAATATTCCTTTTAACATTAATGTAGCTTTACTAAATATACATTTTCCACAGACCATCCGACAAACAAGCAACTAACGTCATACTCAGTATGACATTAATATGTATATAAAAATACCTCTACTTAGTATACAGGGTGGCCAACTAAGAATGTGAGGTACTGTATCTGGAAACCTATCCATCGTAGAGGCTTGCGGCAAAAACAGTTATTAACAAAACGGCAAAGAGAAGAACCTGGAAAATACCTTCAAGTTTCTGAAATGACCGCTAGGGGACGTAACTGCAATCTTGAATCT